TTTTTTAATTTTTTTAAAGATTTATTTATTATTTTTGAGAGAGTGAGAATGAGAGAGAGAGAGAGTACATGAGAGCCGGGAGGGTTAGAGGGAGAAGCAGGCCCCTCGCCGAGCAGGGAGCCTGTTGCGGGACTCGATCCCGGGACTCCAGGATCATGAGCTGAGCCGAAGGCAGTTGCTTAACCAACTGAGCCACCCAGGCACCCCCACCAACGTTTTTATTATCCATTATATTCTTTATATAATAAGCAACTATATTTTGAAGCCAACACAACTTCTAGTTAACTACAAGATAAATCTGAGATATTCAATCGCATTGCTTTACTCTTTAGGTGAAAAAGTATTATTCTTAAAAACAGGCCTAAGAGGAGTAGTCTAACTTATTTTGTCATGATGCTATTTATTCTGAAGCGCCTACAAAGATCAAACTAATCTTTTGAAGATACTGAGATAAAAATACGCTAAAACACTGAAAGACAAGAGATTGTTTATCTTGAGGAAGCAATATCTTTCCAAGCAATAAAGCATGGAAAAATTTGCCTGAATTCTTGATTCAGCCCCCTAATCTGATCCTCTATTTTCTCATTCCGCTGTCAACTCCAAAGAGCTGCCAGACTGATATTTTCAAAACCCAATCCAATCATGTCATCTCTGCTGAAAACCCATCAATAACTTTCCATTGCTCTAAAAAAATTTCATAAGCTTGTCAGAAAGGTTCTACAAGGTCTAGCTCCTAGTTGCCTTTCCAACTGTATTTGGTACCACATAGCCCCTCACTGTCTTGGCAACAGCACACAGATTTTCTGTTTGGAGAATGCCCATTTCCTCTAGTGAAAGTGTCAGCATACCTATTCAGAACACGTTTCAAGCGTTCTTGCTATTCACCTTTAGGTTTCAAATCTAAACTTTCAGGTTCTAATCACTTCCTCAAAGAGTCTGTGTTTTTGAATTCCCTAACTTGTTCAAAGCCCACCATATGACGTCAGTACTAAATGTTCTTTATTCACAGTGCCTGACAGAAATGTAACTTTGTTTGTTTTGTCATTTGTTTAGAACCTCACACTCTACTGGACAGAATGCTCAATGAACGCAGAGATTACCCTAACTTTTGATCATCACTGTAGCCCAAGAGACTAACACACTTCTCCTTGGTACCTTATAGATCTCAATGGATATGTTTTGAACAGATGTCCAAATGAATTCACTTTAAAATTAACAGAAAATTTGTACAAATAGCCAATATGATCACATATGTATCTGGAGTCTGTTAAGAAATGGTTCTCTTGAACAAACTTAGTGACTCCTGCCCTTTCTGTGAATTGTTGGACAGAAGATCTTGCAGGCAACACTAATCCAGCAGGCAAGCCTGGTGGTCAGGACAGAGTGGTACTGAATGAACTCAAAGACCAACTCACTTTGACCAGTGACCAGGCAATGTTACTTAGCAGAGAAAGCACAGCACTGGATTTGAGGGTTTCATGGCTTTTTCTAACACTGCCTTCCAGTTGTTCCAACTCTATTATAAAATAAAAATTTTAGGGGCACCTGGGTGACTCAGTCAGTTAAGCAGTTGCCTTCGGCTCAGGTCATAATCCCAGAGTCCTGGGATCGAGCCCTGTATCAGGCTCCCTGCTCCGCGGGGAACTTGCTTCTCCCTCTCCCTTTGCCTGCCTCTCTGCCTACTTGTGCTCTCTCTCTCTGTCAAAAAAATAAATATAATCTTTAAAAAAATAAATAAAAATTTTAGTTTAGGTAATATATTTTGCTAAAACAGTCTATGATTACAGAAAATGTATTGGCTTTTATAAGTACTGTATTAAATCTAGGCCAAATCACAATACAAATGTTAACAGCCAAACTGTTATATATCTAACACGTACTAAAAGCAAACTACCTATTTCACAATTTTGTCAGATGCTGATTCCATGATAGTCTCTGTATAGAGATAAGAGATAAACAGGAGTGCTGAACAAAGAACTTGATACAAGAATTGGCAAGAACATTGGTTTCAGTGCTGGAAGATCTGTGTTCCCATCTTGTTTTCAAGTAAAAGTCACTTGTACTTTTGGGTTGAGGTTATTTTGCTCTAAAATAAAAATTTCCTGAGAGAGAGCTATTCTATAAGTTGTGATCCATCTCATGTATTAGGAGTTTGGGTTGATTTCTCTCTTCTGTGAGCCTACATTGAGGATCTTCAAGGAAACCATGCAGAGAAATTGATTTGTATGGCCTGTAACGTTGGGGACACAGTGTATTATTATTAAACCATGGTTGAAATACTCAAATGTTGGTGTTAAAGCCATAGGCTGCAGGTGGGAAGAAACCACATTTCCACAGAGGGTGAATAATAAATGAGGTATGTTTTCATTTGACCAAATGCAGGACTTCTGTGAGGGAGTTCTGGTCATGAATTGTCTTAGATCCTTCCCAAGAGGCCCACCTGGAAGGATAAGGAGACAGTTGGAAAGAAGACGGAAGTGAATTATTCTGTATCCATGTTGTAAGGGAGAAATGTAGGCAGACAAACAGACACATTCCCCCACAACAAGGGAACTGAATGGGGCACCTCTGAGGATCCCATAAAGGTTCATGAGCAAAAGAACCATCTTTTAATCATCTGCTAAAACCCTTGGAAATGGTACCAAATCAGTATCAGACAAGTAAAAGGATTCATGTGCCCTGATCCCTTCCACATCCAACTCCAGGAGGAATCACAGAATGCTCAGTGAGTAGGGGTATATGAACAAAAATACTAGGAGGGCAAACAGGGAAGAAGAACTCACTCTCCTTCCTTACCTTTGCCCCAGTTGCCACAAACCCAAACTAGGGAAAGCAAAGAAACTTAAACCAATGAAGTCAATTATTTTGCAAGTAGCCAGCACTAGAAGTATTAATCAATGAATTGAGATTTTTGAATAAAAAAGGATTTTTTAAAAATTTTAATGTCAACTGAAATATAGTTTGCCTGGGATTGTAATCTAGAGAAACGGAAGTAAATAGCTCACAGAGCTATGGTTTGAATAGGTTGTGTACTAGTTACACTACAAATATATGGTAGTGTAACATTTTATTTCCAAAGTACTACTCAGTCCTGGTGTTGGTACTGGGAAGACAAAAAGTAGAGGTAATTTGGGGTCAGGGATAGGGGAGAGCAGGACATGCTTACCAGAGGTTAAAGTTAAATACTGAGGGAAGGCACTGTGTGTTCTGCCAAGAAAATTGTAACAATATGTCTCATAGTCTGGACAGGACCACAGGTTCTTTCTAATTACCCCCCAAAACTTAAAAATATAGAGAGGGCAGGGCTCCTGGTGGCTCAGTCATTAAATGTCTGCCTTGGGCTCAGGTCATGATCTCAGGGTCCTGGGATCGAGCCCCGCATTGGGCTTCCCGCTTCGTGGGAAGCCTGCTTCTCCCTCTCCCACTCCCCCTGTTTGTGTTCCCTGTCTCGCTGTGTCTCTCTCTGTCAAATAAATAAATAAAATCTTTTAAAAAAATAGAAAGAGGGCATGCAATGAAGATAAATATAACTTTTACAATAGTCGGTGATAAAAGTTAAATATCTTTTAAGAGTAGTAAACTTTTGCTTTCAATTTATGAATTATGGAGTTAAATGGATAAGGAGTGACAGGAAGAAGCTAATGTTATTTGACGTATACAGTAGATTAATAATGTTGTTCCTGGTACCAAAGCATTTTGCTATTCCTGGCCCATTATGAGTTAAACAGGATGCTGTCCATCTCTATTAAAGTTATGGATATAAGTCATTACATCAAATAATATTTGGTCATTATAGAGCCAAATTTTTTCCTCTAACGTTTGACTTAAATTGATGGAATTTTCTGAGTGGCTCAAGATAACCACCTAAATCTTGAGATCGTTTATAGTACAAATAAACTAGTAACTTATTAACTTGACTGTCCTGAACAGTGTTATGACAAGACAAATTTTATAGCTTCAATTTCTTTATAAAACAAAGAACTTTATCTTACACATCTCATACTAAACATAGATGGTCAAGTATCCCCTCTGTTAGAATACACCATTGGCCAAAAGTAGACTTGTGGAGAACACTGTTTGGAAAATGGGAACCATAAGTCCTAATATAAAGCTAGTAAAAATGTATTTATAATATTGTATATACATATATCACATAAATACTTAGCAAAATATGTTTACATTATTTGGTGGAGTTACAGGGACTACATTACCAAAGATATATTAATTACTATATTATTTCTCTCTAAAGTTTCCTAGAAAAGTGATGTATTTTTTTAAGGATTTTATTTATTTATTTTAGAGAGAGAGAGAGCATGAACATGCATGCAAGTGGGGGGAGAAGCAGAGGGAGAGGGAGAGAGAGAGAATCTCAAGCAGATTCCGTGCCCAATGTGGAGCCCATGAGATCATGGGCCTGAGCTAAAATCAAGAGTCGGACACCCAACCAACTGAGCCGCCCAGGTGCCTCAGTGTATTTTTATTTAAAGTTTAATTTCACACATACTTTCAAAAGCTTTTGAAAAATGCCACTGACAAAAATTATATTTTCTCTTAAATCGTTTCTTTGTTTTGTGCATACCTACATTAAAAAAATAAAAATAAAACTCAGCCATACCATAAATGTGTACAAAGTGATTAAAGGTTTCCCACAACAGACCTTAAGAACAATGTTGGTTTTGTTTTATTCACTTCATCATCTAATCAATGAAAAGAAAATCTTGATCCTGTTATCCTGAGATCTAATAGGACTGTAAATTTTTACTTACTTTCATTGCTATTTCAACTAGTGGTTATAAAATTGCCAAGATATAGATTATATTTATATATGTGTTTAAAATGTTTTCATGGACTTCTCATTTTATTTAATCTTTATTAGTATAATATGCGCCTGGTGTCACGATATTTGGACTGCTGTTTTTATCCAAAACTGTTAACAGAGTTGCTTTAATTGCATTTTTCTTAATGACATATAACTGAACATCTTGTCCTTGTTTTAACAGCTGAAGATGCGTGTGGAGGAACAATGAGAGGATCCAGTGGCATCATTTCAAGCCCTAGTTTTCCTAATGAGTACCATAACAATGCTGATTGCACTTGGACCATTGTAGCAGAGCCTGGGGACACAATTTCACTCATATTTACTGATTTCCAAATGGAAGAAAAGTATGATTACTTAGAAATAGAAGGTTCTGAGCCACCTACAATATGGTAAGTAAATAGTTGCTATTCTAACCTAGCATTGATGTCACTGCCTAAGGCTGACTGGGGATCAAAGCACAGCTGTGTAAGGGCCTTTAAAGGTTTAGTTATTTAAAAGAACTTATAGCTACAGGAAAATTGTAAGGGGAAGGTGTCAAAGCTGAGGGATATTTTTGAAGATAAGTGTACTAATACATCAAATAGATTGGAATTCTGAAAGATGGAACTTTCCATCAGTATTTAATTGTCAGTCATTGAAAAGTAATGTGACTTAAGCACAACTGTGTAAGAAAAGAAAAGATGGTCCTAATGTAATCTACAGTTATGTTCTTAGCGTGCCAGTCCATAGTTGGTGGTTCCTTTCAAATTAATTGAATAGTCTGGGAAATAATTTGCCTTTGTTTTTGTAAATAGCTCTTTTATTTAATCTGTTGTCTGAAGGCAAAAATTAAACATTATGATCTGGGTTAGTATGGTCTGTTTTTTACAGACTTCAAGACATGGTTTCATGGCAACTGCAGAGTTTTCAGAACATGTTTTTGGAGTATAATATTTTTAGGAGAAAATGTTTCATTATACTATTTTAGAAATCTGAATGCACTGATAGGATTGAAGTGTAAAGTAGATTATGAATCAGTAACTGAGTGAAGAATGATGAGATTTGTATAGTAAGGCAATTGGTAAACACTAGACTAGGAAGGGCCTTTTAAGCCATGTAAAGGATTTTAAGCCATGTCAAGGTTTGAATTTTCAAATGATTGTTCTTACTAAGTGCAAAGGTTGATCTGAAGAGGAGCTCAATTAGCTGTAGGAAGATCACTTAAGAGGTGATTGCTATAATCCAAGAAAAAAAAATTATGGTAGCCTGGATTAGAATGGTATTGTTGGAGATAAAACAGTAGAATAAGTTAGGGGGTATTTAGAGAGGCATAATGAAAGGGACTGTAGCGGATTGAGGAGTGATAAAGAAGGTAATGTTTAGATAAAACATTTTCTGATTGCACAAGTTGGTAAAGCCAGTAGAGATACTCACTGTTTTGGAAATTGTTGAAGGAAGGTCAAGTTTGGAGTGGGAATGCTATGAATATTAGGAATGGTTTTTTATATCTATTTAGATTGAGGTCACTTTGAGATGTCCCATTTAAGCCGTCTAATAGACAACTACGTCTGCTTATATGATTCAGGATTTTTCCATTGAAGTATAACTGATAGGATGTATCTAAGGTAAATGAACCAATAGACATCGGTAATATTGGCTAGCTAGAGACAGGTTGGAATGAGAAGAAGCGAGGTAACTAGGACTGAGACTGAGCACCACCAGCAGCATATAAAGCCCAGGCTTAGGAGCATTATCCCGCAAAGGACACAGAGGAAGTGCATATAGAGAGGCAGAAGGAATAAAGCATCCCATAGACCAGAGAAGGACAGTGTGAGGAAAGAGGAGACAATATTGTGGGCCGCAGCTGAAAGGACACTGAGTAAATGTTTAACAAAAAATATTTATAGTTATCGGGGATTTAGCAAAAGTACCACGTGGGTCTGTCATTCTAATACATTCCTTTGAAGGTAAGACAAAAGTTACACACTAGCTATACCCACTTTGATTTTTGTTTGCTTGTTTTCTCTTCTTCCCTCAAGCTGTCAGTACTCAGGGTTGTATAACTTTTACTCTTCCCATGATAGTTTCATGCCCAGGTGCAATGAAATTCAGCAGAATCTTGGTTTAAAATGTTAGAGAATTCAAAACCTTTTGTTTTAGAAATTGTTACTTCTACAGTGATACATATTGGAATCATATCAAGGTGGATGATAATGTCAGGAATTTTCCAATAATTATACTAACTTTTGGTATGCAAGTGATTCCGATAAAATCTAAGTTTTTAAACTCCCGATGTATTTGATTACTAGATATAAAGAAGGAAATTAGAAAACAATTTCTAATTGTTTCTTTGTTACCACTGAGCTCTAGAAACCAACACATTTGGTCTAGAAACTAACACATTTATTCTGGGGATCATAATATCCGTATTTATGTTCATGTGGTCACTCTTTTTTCAGATTGTGCATTCTTAGCAAGGATTTGTGTTCATAAACACCTGTTTTTATATTTCTGAGTTTCTAGAACAATGTAGCTGGTCCAATAATAGCATCAGATCCATGAATTGCTCTTCTCCGCATTTTCTAATTAAATGACGTTGGGACACTTTACTTATTTCCCTCTTCTTTAGGAAGAAAACAGTAACTAAGAAGTTTATTGTTTTACTGTTAGCTATTTTTAATTTATTCTTATTTTTTATTATTGTTATGTTCAGTTAGCCAGCATATAGTAAGTACATCATTAGTTTTTATGTAGTGTTCAAAGATTCATTAGTTGCATATAACACCCAGTGTTCATCACCACACGTGCCCTCCTTAGTACCCATCTCCTAGTTACCGCATCCCCCCACCCCACTCCCTTCTGTAACCCTCAGTTTTGTTCCTGGAGTCCAGATTAGTGTTACAGTAAATGTTTGGGTAGACTTGTCTGAATCCTGGAGATATATATACATATATATATAGAGAGAGATATATATAGAGATATAGATATAGATATAGATATTGATATATATATATATCAATAAGTTCATTTAGCACTTTTCAAGAAAGTGATACAAATGCCCAAACTATATTATATTCCTATAATATAGGAATATACATAGTGTCAGTAAATTAATAATCCTGTATATAGCCACTTCAGTATCACAAAACAGTGTTCCTTTTAATTGTATTAGTTATGGAATTGATGTATAAAATGATCTGTGAATAATTAAAATAAACTTCAGGTCCCTCACCGAAGGAGTGGGGACTTGCCATTGGCTACTGTACTTTAAATTTTGCTCCTAAAGTTCAGGCAGTGAGGCAAGCCTTGCAAAGGCTGTGTTTGACTTTGGCAACATAGACCAAGTCAGCCAATAATCGTGCAGCACAGAGAGTACTATCAACCAGTGCCTTTCTTGCAAGCTCTATATTGTAAATCAGTAAGTTCTAGTTTGTTAAACAGTCAGCAGCACCAGTGTGTGATCTGACAGGAATGCAGTGAATCCAGTCAATTATTACAGGATGATAAAAGTTTCTGAAGCTTGTTCAATGTCAACTGATTCCATTGCAGTGAAATGAAAAATGACATAGCACAAAGACACTTAAGTTCCAGTTTCAGCTTTGACTGTTTATTGGTAGGTGAAACTGGGTAAATTATGTCATCTTCTTAGAGCATCAGGATCCTCATCTGCAACATCCAAGCTTTCTTTCAAATCTAATAGTCTTTGGCATTACCTGCTTAGGTGCTACAACAGGGGCAATGAGGTGGGAAGTAATTAGATATAGCCTTGGTTGGAGAGTTGGATTAGATACTCTTTAAAATTGTTTCCAAACTTAATCTCTTGGTTCTTACTAGAATTCCGTTCAGTGTTCATTCAGGAATTATTTATTGGGTATCTACTGCATGGCAGGCATTGTTCTAAGGACATCAGCAACCAAAGTAATGGAGAGGTTTGCTTCTGCATAATTTTTGCTCTATCAGGGGAAAAAGTAATAAACAATAAACAATATAAATAAGTTAATGACACACTCTGTCTAGAGAGTGATAAGAAAGAAAAGACGAAGTAGGGTAAGAGAGGTCAATAAAGCAATTGTGGGATGATGGAGGTTACCTACCTGAGAAGTTGAGATTTGAGCAAAGTCTTAAAGGAAGGGGGTTAGCCAACCAGAAATCTCAGCAATAGACATTCCAGACAGAAATGCATTTAGAGCAAAACACATAATCCAGAGTGGAGCTCATTTTGTTAAAGGAAGAGCTAGTAGGTCATGTGACTGCAAAAGAATTGCATGGGTGAAAGCGGTAGAAAAGAAAAATAATTAATGTAGCACAGCTCAAGACCCATATTTGGCTTTTAGTCTAAGTGAAATGGGGAGTCATCAAAGGGTTTTGAGCAAACTAGTGACCAGACTTACTTTTAAAGGATCACTGTGGCTGCTTTGTGGGGTAAACTATAGGAAGGAAAAGTAGAAAAATAGAAATTATTTGCAATAAGCTAGGTAAGATACTATAATTGTTAGGATTATGAAATGGCAGTGGAGGTGATGAAAATTGTTAGATTTTCAAGATGAAGTTAAGTGAATTTCCTAACTGAGGAAATGTGAAGTTCAAGAAAAAGAAGAAACAACAACAACTCTAAGAAGCAAGGATAGCTCTAAGGTTTCATGAAGACCTGACAGGATGAAATATCCAGGGATCCTGGAAAGGCTTTTGATATGATATAGAACTGAATTCTGGACATGTTAAAGTTTGAGATGGCTAATTAGTATTCTGGTGACGATTTCAAGGAGGCAGTTGGATATATACAAGTCTTAGTTCAGAATTAAAAGTATGGGATAGAGATCTAAATTTGGAAGTTTAGAATTGAAAGTGATTGTTAAATTAAAAGAAGAAAGGAAAAAGAAAAGAAAAGGCTAAGAACTGAGTTCTGGGACACTCCAAAAGTCAGGAAAACAAGGAAGAACAAGTAAAAGCATTTGAAAAGGAGAGTTGATGATTTAGGAGGAAGGCCCGGAAAATAGGGTTCTCTGGAAGCCAAATGAAGAAAACATAGGAAGAAGTAACTGAACCATTGTGTCAAATTTGATGATCAGCTAATAAGATGAGCTCCAAAATTGATCATTGGATTTCATAATATGGAGGTCATTGGTTACTGTGATGAAAGGAGTTTTGTGTTTGACTGTTTTACTGGAGTGGTTTTAAGAGCATATTAGAGAAGAGAAGTTGCTCACAATTAGTACAAATAAGGCTTTCATGGACTTTTGCAAGCAAAGGTGAACAAAGAAATAGGACTAAAGGAGGAAGTAGAGTCAAAAGAATTTTTTTTTTTAGTTTTGTTTTTTGGTTTATTGCTAATTAGAGAGATAAAACCATGTGTTCATGCTAATGAGAATGAACCCTAGAGTGCAAAAAAAAAAAAAAAATGGTGGTGGTG